CCCCCCCCCCCCCCCCTCCCTAAAAAAAAAGACGGCAACATTTGAAGGATGAAAGAGAGAAGAAACTTGGATTTTCACATCCATGTCCAGGCTTAAATTAAATTACAATTCCATAAACACGTAATAACACTCGGGAAGACAGAAATTAACATCGTAATCACACTCAGGGAAGAGGTAAATTATCATTAATAACACTCGCAAAGAAATAAAAAAGACGTTAAAATACAAAAATGCGCCAACCTTATATGGATTGCTCTTCTAATTAACTAGAATCCAGGTGCGACCAATATGACAAGAAGAGGAGGTAGATGAAAAGGAAAATGGCCTTCATTAATCATTATAACTCAGCTTCATGCACTAAACCTTAAACCAGTGTGTGGTTTAAATGGATGCTGCCCTCCCATGGCAACTGAAAACTTCTAGCAGAGCTCCCTCTGATTCGGAAAAAAAAAAAACAGTTTTGGGTCTGTTGCTGCTAGGTATTTACGTTCTCCCCCGCTTTCAAAGACAGATAGGTCCTTCATCTTCTGGCAAACCTGCTGCCTCTGATTTCCGTCTTGGGCGTTTTATAAGACACTACTCCTGTGAATCTATCCAGACTCGGCTGCTCTTCATCCTCACTTGCATCATCGGACCTCCATCTTGGTCCACCATTTGCATTTGTGTCCACAACAGGTAAACCCTTGTTTTCATGGCTTATGATTTGTAGGTGAATCAAAGTGAAGAAGTTAAGATTTATGAATGATCAACTGCACAAGCAGTAAAGGAAGCATAAAAATAAAAAAGAAAAAGAAAATGTGAACTTTTACCTCCAAGAGACGTCCATTAAATCATCTAATGGAGCCACATTCCAAGGTTTATCAACTCTGTCTGGCGAGATGTGATTTCCAGCAACCTTCAGGTATGAGTCTTGAGAAGAATCATTGAGCACACCCTGCTTGCTATAAGGCGATTTTATGGGATTAGCTGCAATCCTGCGTGGATATGGACTAGTACTTGGGAACTGTTGAATGAATACATTATGTTCTTTTTCAGAAGGGACTTCATTATCCTCGTGGAGGTTTCTGTTGTTCTGAGGCACTCTAGATGAACGTCTGTTGAGTTCTTTTAGAGGTATTGCAGCCATAGGACTAACCCGACGAATTGCAGAAGAGGAGATGTTATCGAATCTGAAGTTTTTGTTAAAGCAGCCTTGAGAATTCAATCCATTTTCTGCATCATTGAAAACATTTGCACGACGAATGGATGGTGAGCCATAATTACCCAATTCAAAGTGGGATACATTGACAGATCCACTTAGTTTTGATGGAATTTCAAGAACTGATGGTTTCAAGGGAGGAATTGTGTTGTCCGCATGGTTAGCAAAGGAAGATTCAAAGGAAGAAGGAACCAATAAACTGGTCAAAACAGGTTCTACTCTTGGAAAATCAACTGCATTAGCAGGAGAAGAGCAAACTTCAGGCAACTTTCCAGTCTTTAGTTGTTGCCGTTGGACTTCTGGCAGCAACTCCACACTTCTATCCTGCAGAAGCATGTAACATATGTTCAGATAATATATTTGAGTTCTTCCCCCCCAGCATTATTAGTTACAACCAAGTTAAACCAAACCCTACGTAAGGGCTAATATCCTCTATATAATGATTGTCCACTATTCCTTAAGTATCGGACTCGGGTTCCCCCCCCCCCCACCCAAAAAAAAAAACAACAAAGAAAGGGAAAATTGCACAAGATTTAGAATGCTCCACTTCCTCAGGAAAATCCCAAAAGAAAATAAAAAGGAAGAAGAAAATATATACAGATACAAAAGGATATAATGTTAGGTTATGAAAGACCATCAAAAGCAGGACCTCCATTGGATGATCATCCTTGCCCCACCTACAAAACTTCTACTTAATGGAAAATCTGGAGAATGTTTCATATCGTAAAGAACCACCCTCGGTATTAGTAGATAAGAAAAAGCAAAACAAAGTCAAAAACCATAAATCTCCTTGTCATCTCAAGGATTTTCTCTTGTTTTAATTTTTTCCCCAGAAAAACCTGCTGAACTCGAGCAAGAAGGCAGCTCAACTCATCAAGCAGAATATTTTCACTGCACAATTCTATCAGATACTTAAATGAACGAAAGAACCAATATTATATTTTCTCACGTTCTATTATGCCTTAAATAGTATTAATGAATGAAGATAAAGAAGAGTGTCACAAAATGAAATTCACTTACCACCAATTTGGTTCGCCAATGACTTGCCGATCTTATTCTAGATAAGACTTCTTCACTGACATAATTATTGGAAATGTCCTGCTCCACACACTTAAGTTTACAATCAACTTGGTATGCCTCTACATATTGGAAGCGCTGAAATGCAAAGCGAGGGTAATGAGCAGACTTCTTAGGCAACCCCGACTTTAAAAATGTGATTTATGTCATACAAATGATAAAAAGTGAATCTGGCATGCCACATTACGTCTCCTGAAGCCAAGTATATACAGGAAATTAACACAAGTACACAGCTCAAGTGTAGCATCTGTTTTTATCGGTTTAAGTCTGAGTGGCCTTGTGGCCCCACAATATTAAACTAATTTTTTGAGGGGGAGGGCACAGTAGCTTGCTACTGGGGCTCTTGCATGTCGCCTTGGTTTTGTACTGCAGCCTTGGCCTGCCGCATTCCACCAAAAAAATTGAAAAGGAAAAGCAATATTACACCGTGTATCATTGATTAACACGGACAACAAAACTCTACTTTCTCGGATTTCAAAACAAATCATACTCCATTCTTCAAGCCTTTCAGAGTTCATTTACGATCTATTGAGTTTTAAGCCAATAAAAGTGACCAACTTAATGAATAGCTTTAGTCGCAAGATAGGAATTGACAGAAGGAAAACATAAATATGAAAAAGTTTACACACAACCAAAATTTAGTAGTCATTTTACTTGCCAAGGGTTCCCCATGGGCCAAAACTAGAAAGAGTGGGACAAAGACCAATATCATATTTCATGAAGCCACACTGACTAAACCAATAATGATGACGCCTCAGAAAATGATAGCATGCCTAGTCAGAATCATCAACAAAACTAATTATGTAACTTCAACTAATTGAGAATATAGAAGATACCTGTAGATAGAATACCACAAGAAGACTTCCAATAGTTGTTGAAGGGTCTTCCATTGCAAAATCTAACAGGCACTTATGGAGATGTTTCTCCTCATTGGAATTCCATGGCAATTCTATCATTCGATCTAACAAGTTCCTCCGGATACAAAGACAACAAATTTCAGTGACTAGCACCTCCACCCACTTCGTCCAAGAGAGGCACTCATCTTTTAATTCATCTGAAGCATTTCGAGCGGATTGATTCCTCAACTTCTGTTCCTTGACTTTTGTGCAGAGCATTCGCTGGTATGTGAATGCTTCAGTCAGAAGTCCACACTCCACTCTCACCCAAACAGCAGTGACAGCCTCACCTAGTGAAACCAACTGTGCTCCACCATCACGCCCTGACCACCGTAAAACCATAAGAGCTGCATCAGGATTTTTCCTTTCTAACAGAACTTGTGCAACCTTAGGATGGGTTGTTGGGCCTGAAATTTCTGGAAGAAGGCGGCAGGCTTCCTAAGCCATGCAACATGCAAAGAGAAAATAGGGCATAGAATGATATAAGGTGCATACACCAAATTACTCCAAATATTGTCTTAGACAAAAAGAGGTCACACAAAATTCAAGTACTCCAGAAAAAAGATGTCAAATGCAGTTGAAACCAGAGCCAGATTTATCACACATCAAGAGAAAACTTTCAATAGGTTCTCCAAGTTCATAATCCATGTCACCAATCTCCTAAAGGTGCAACTCAGCTGTATATAAACACAAAGTACCACAAAGCGATATATTTGAATATACATAAAAGAAGCCTTATGCAACGGTTCAGATATATTCCACACTGGCAGTAATAATGGAAGGTCAACAAATTTGACATCTAAGGTAGGAATAATGGTTGCCAAGGGAATCCAGTATCTCATTGTACATTAGGTTAGGCAGCTGTGGTTGACGTACAAAGAAGACAAGTATAGCCATTTTCAGCTCCAAAAAGAACAAAGAGCAAGTGAATAAATCATTTTACTTTGACAAGTATCTGTCTTGGTAACTTCTGTTGAAATAAGTACGTTCTAAATCAAATCTCAGATCACATAATGCTTGAACCTGATTATGTACCGGCATCAAAAACCATAAAATTCTAATCCAACTAGATCATATATTCTGGACAAGTTACTGTTTGCGCAACACATTAAACCAAATCTTTTGGTGGTCTAATATTGCATTTAGCAACTTAGGACACAATAGGGAAAAAGTCACCTGCAAAGCTTCATCAGTGTGGTCATCCAGAAGGTAAAAGGTAAATGATTCCAGTAAGGAACGCCGAGTAATACTAAAGGTAGCTGCAAAGTCATCTACAACATATCTCCATTTCTCATCAGGCAATTGCCAGTGCCGATCGAATAGATAATACAAGAACTGTGACAAAATTAAGGAACTATGCGAATGAAACCGCCCAAGGATGTAAACCATCACAAGCTACTAAATGTTAAATGAGAAGGATACAATTGCTTGTTTAGCAACCACCAGATCAGAATTTCCATGTAGAAAGAGCAAGTCAGTTGCAGCTTGCAGATTTTCAAATGGATAGCACCCTGCCATACCCTCTATCTTAGACTGGAAAAATGATGAGCCCCCATTCCTCTGCAAAGATGAAATTTCTAATTTGTCTACTATTTCATGGGGATATCCCTCTGCTATATCAAGATTTGACAATGCTTCTTCAATGAACAGCAAGGAAACATCTTGTCCAGCAGAATCAGGCCATGCACGCTTAATTGCCGCTGACTTCCTTTTACGGAAAAGTGAATACCAAGATGTGAAATCAGTGTGCCGAGGCTTGACGTGTTCGAGAAATTGATGTCTTGTGCACCAAATTATCATCTCCATGTGCTGGAATACCAAAATCAATGTTATAAAAATTAACCATGATTTATTTTAAAGAAATAGAAGCGCAGGTTTTGTCAAATCAAAATCTCTTCAGAACTCTGAACTTTAAAAGTTTAATGAAACATTATAAATTAACCCAACTACTCCCCACCCCAATGAATAAACGAAAACAACCCTGTACATCACAAAGTATGAAAAGACAGCATAGGCATACTACAGAATTCAATGACCTTAATTGTTCTTAATCCTTTGTGTTGTTTTTCTTGAATATGTGAATCCTCAACATGGTTTGAAATTTCACACTTTCGCTAAGAAGATTGCAAACTCACCAAGTTTTTAAAATATAGCATGGAAGAAGATTACACACTCACTATCAAAGTTGTAGAAGTAAAAACATAATCAGACCAACAAAAAATACTATCCAACAAAGAAGAATAGGTTAAATATCAAAGCAACACAATTACAGGAATTCTTAGTATACATACTTCAAATACTCGAATAAAAAAGAGCTTTAAAAAATTAAACCTGCTTTGTCTTCAATATGCTCTCATGAAGGTGGTGCAGATCATGAAGATGAGCAAAAAGAGAACCCTTAAATGATGATTCCAAAACTTCAAGAACATTAGATATGCCAGTCAGCTTTGCTGAAAATTTAAGAAGTGCACTTGACAATTCTTTCATCTCCTGTACAGTTAGATTATCTATGGGAAACGTCAAGGAGAACAATCAAAACAGCGAAAGGCAGAGAAGAATAAACATTTCAAAGGTTTAAGGATACAAATCCATTGAAGCTCTGTTATAGTATTCTGGAATGTCTGCTTGCACCAATCTTTGACAACCACTTCGTCCAGCAAGAAAGCAACAACAGGATCACTAGACACGGCAGTTTCATCCATGCAAACATCTCTAACATCTGTTACCCTTCTGCTAAGGAAAACTGAACTTCTAATATAAAGAAATTCCATAAAAAAATATCAGCCAGCTTGATGTTCAAGTTTTTTTTTTTCCGGGGCAGTGGCTAATGTTTAATTTAGTTTGGCAAAAAACAAAAATAAAAGTGACTAAAATTCAAGTTTTCCATCTTATTATTATCCACTGACCACATATTCAGTTGGCCATATACGAAACAATGCACTTCTGATTCTATTAGGAATTTCGGTCTGGTTGAGAGAAATAACGATAACACAAAGGGATACAATGGCAAATCAGAGAAACCAAGTTGTTCTCCAAGGCAACATCAAATAGAGAATAAAGCCGTTGGACATCAGCAGATATATGTTTCTCGCCATCGTCTTTCTCTTGAAACCTGTCGTCACATCTTTTGGATATAAGACCAGCCTCTATGCATTCATTGTAAAGCCGAAGCCGAAGTCTATTTCCATTCTTAGGCATAGGAATTCTGCAAATTGGGCAAATATCACAGCGTTGACTACATTCATCACACAAGGATGCGTGGCCACAAGAGTTTAACACATTTTGCACACAGCGTCCACAGCTTCTCAAGTCTCTTGTTGCCCGACATTGCTCAACCTTTGCCTCATTGCACAAGTCAAGCAGATCAATAGTTGCTAGGTGTTCCAATGCTTTCTGTGATTGAAACCAAAAGTATACATAGTTCCAAAGTATTGAACAACTACTGAAAAATGTAAAAACAGATAGGTTATCCGTTATTAAACACGATACGAACGAATTTCAACCAACTCGCAAACTGTTGCTTCCAAAAACTTGCACCGAAAGGTCCAAAACTGTATCTCTGCCACCGCAAATGCACAACTCTCGCTTCACAATTAATTTTGCACAACTCAATAGTATAAATTCAACGTGATTCACAATGAAACTGAAGCTAATCATCTTGAAACGGCTTAAAGCAACAAACTAGGGTTCTTACAATTATATATATTCTATTTAGAACATTTATGGATATTAAAGCATACACACATATGTCTATATATATATATAAAGATACCTGAACTTTTCTGCAAGTATAATTAGGTTGAAGAGGAGAAGGAGAAGGCCTTGTGGAGGAGTCTGAGGCCACGAAGGCTCTGTCGAATTTCCGTCTCTCCATTCTATCAGTACAGTGAGAGATTGCTTGAGAAACAGAAACTGTCCGGAACCCTAATGGCAACTCCAGATTAGGGATAAGTTAATAGCGCCATTGCTTAGTGTTGAAGCTCGGACAGGTTTCATGCGTGACTGTGTGCTATATACAGTGAATATATTTTGAAGGCTACCGAGTACTGAGAGAAAGATTTTGTGTTTTTTTTTTTTTGGCACTTTGTATCTTAAAATTTCAAAATTTTCACTTTATACCCTTAAATTTTAAATTTCTCATATTGTATCATCATGTATCAAAAGTTTGCATTATAACTCTTTTGTTAGCTTTCAGTTAGTTTTTTGCATGAAATTTGCCCTTTTTTTCTATGGTTTAATTCCAGAAGTTATTATTTCTTTTTTGATAAATATGACAATTAGTGTTTGAAATTTGTCTTTATCTTATAATAGTCCCTAAAATTTTAATTATCTCAATTTAATCTCTCAATTATCAATTTTATAATTTTTTTCTGTGATTTAATTTCAAAAATTATTATTTATTTTTTGATAAATATGACAATGAGTGTTTGAAACTTTTCTCTTTTTCTTAAAATATTCCTTAAATTTTTAATTATCAAAATTTAATTTTTCAATTACCAATTTTATATCAATAAAATCATTTTGTCCATTTCACGGCATGAGCTCAACCTGCAGTGCTTGGCCAGTACAGTTCAACATGTTTGGCCAATTCAAGTCAGCTTTAGAGTCACACTAGAGGATTCACTCCAATTCAAACAAAGGAATATACATGTCTTTGGAGTGAAGATTCTTTACAACGGTAATACGACGTCATCAGTGACATGTGGTATGATTAATAAATCATAATATGTTATGTAGGATAAGTAAACTTTAATATTTCAAGGTGTTAATTAATCAATATAATAATTATTAAAAATAGCAAGTTCTACTATACACATAGTATAAAATAATTAGATAGTAATACCACATTTCACCCCTGACCTAAATATTACCGTTATAATGAAAGGGTGAAAAGGTGATGCCAAAAGGTGAGCAATTCAAACTCCAGTTTGGCATTCAATTCTTTATCTCTTTTTCTAACTTAAAGAATCGGACGATTGAGTATCTCAGCTACCTCGGATGATCACGTACAATTTCTGGTATCGACAACCGTGATTGACTTTGTCTGGTGAGAACTGTCCCTTGAAAAATCTTTATCAAATGGGTGTATATCTATGCTACACCAAACTAACTTTTAGGTATTGTTGAAGTTACAATTTAATTTAATTTGATTAAAGTTATCATAAAATAGTACTGTTTACAAATTAGGAGATCAACATTCAAGTTTGATGCTAAAAATACAATATGATTTATGAGTCATAACTTGTTTAAGATTGGCGATAGATCCTGTCATATCATATTTAAATTATATAAATTGTGTCATATTAAAGAACTAGTTATTCCTTGTGCCTAAAGACACAGAGTAATAAAAAAAATAGTCAATAATAAATATATTTATATTCACATCTAAAATCAAATCATAAATATAGAAGGAGAGAGAAAAGAATTTAAGCATTAATTATAATATAAGTGAGCAATAACAGTGGTGGTGGATAGTATTGGCAGTGGTGGGGTGGCAATTTGCGACGAGTAGTGATGATGGTGATTATCGTAAGGGGGGAGTGGTAGTGGGGTGGCAACAGTAGTAATGACGATGGTGGTGATATTAAGTGATAGAAATGGTTGTTTTGGCAAAGGTGGTGGTGGGGGTAGAAGTGACGGTGGGGGTGGTGGTGGTTGGGCAATGTTGGTCGTGGTGGAGTGGCAACGATGATGATGGTAAGGGGTGGTATGGTGACGACATCGATGGTGGTGATAAAGGGCAGGGGGTGGTGGTGGTGAGGCAGTGGGTGGGGTGGTGACATTGGTGGTAGTAGTGGGGTGGCGACAATGGAGGTGATAGTGGTAGTGGTGATGATGGTGGGGGGTAGTTTGGTGGGATAGCGGTGGTGGTAGTAATAGTAATAGGGGTGGGGGTGATGGTGATGGTGGTGAGGCAATGAGAGTAATGGTGGCAGTGATAGTGGTAAGGTAGTTCTAAACACTATTTTTTTTTAAAGTATTTATGAGAAATTATTAGTATTAAAAATATTTTTAAAAAGTCATAACGAACACTTCCGAGAGGTCTATTTTCTCTATTTAATTTAAAGTGTTAATATTAATCATTAAATTAATTTTAAAATAAAATTAAAAAAAATTTAAATCGAGAACAACAAAAATCATTTTATTTATCTTTTGAAATTTGAATTGTATTATACTTTATTATATAAATTTACTCAATTTATACTTGATTCAATTATTATAGTATATAGTTAATTTTTTACCACCTCACATTCACATCGAGTATAAGTCATGTTTGTTTGAATTTGTGTCAACTCATTTTCTTGAGGGATTTAATAAATTCACCTTGTTTATAAAATAGATCCGCCATTTGGGGATCGTGAGTAAAATTGTGAGCGCTTCTATTGTCACTCCAAAACCGTAATGTTACTAGTAAAGCAGGATCATTGTCATGGTTCAACGTATTGATAGACACTTGTACAATTCGATCAAATCATATCAAACTCAACACCTTCCAATCCTATATAATTTCAATTTTTGTGTAAGCCCACGAGTCTCGTGCAACCCCCGAACAATCATCCGACATGTTTTTGAGTAAACCTCGAGTCATCTGAGTGTTCAAATTGATTAATTCCACGATACAACGATATGGTTTGAATATATCACAATACTCAACTTCATCTGTGCAGCATTTCGTACAATACCCTACTCAAACTTCATCTGTACAATACCCTCCTCATCATGACCGATGCCACGACCATGAATGATGATCCCAGTACATAAGAGAGCTCGAGATGCATCTTTAAGAATAACAAACAAGTGATCTGATAATAAACCACGGTACTACAATATATGCATCTTTAAGATGAACAAACTATTTTGCAGATGATATGATTGTAAAGCACAGCACTACAATATTGTTATTTTCAGTCAAAAAAACACAAAATTGCCATTTAGTATCAGCACCTACCTTATTCTTGAAATTTCACGTATGAAATTTCTATGCATTAGTGGGTTTTTTTTTTGTTTGGGGGGGAGGGGCCACCAATGATGCAAGCTGAAACCCAATAAATGCTCTACAATAATCTCACATAAAAACACAAATCAGCGTCTCAGACTATATTTTTACGACATAGCAAATATGCATGGCATGTACATGGTCACCTGACAAGAATAGCACCGAACTCAGACGGAAAACATAGCTAGAATAGCATTGATTGACAAAGAATTCCAAAGGTGAAGTTTAACAGACCTAGTCTCATTTTTAATTTTCCGCATCTATGGCTGTATGCAAATATGAAATTACAGAGTACTAGAGTATACAAGGAAATCAAGTAAAGATTGGCTATTTGGAATACATAATTCTTTTATCTTCTGATCTTTAAACTTCATCATTCAGAAGGTGAAAACAACAAGATGCTAGCATTTAGAACAATAAAATCACTCAAATCTTTGAAGTTAGCCCTAACCAAGCTAGAACTACAAACAGGCTCATGCTTTATATCATGTTCATCTATGTCAAGTTGTCAACTCACTAAATGCTTAAAGAAAAAAAGGAGGACACGATATAAAGGAAAGGGGAGGTGCTGTTTGTTCGTTTGTCAAGGGCTACACTTCATTGCAAAACATCAGACAAAACCCAAAAAAAAACAAAAATAACAAGAAAAGTTAGTTGCACCAAGATTTTCCAGGAAACTACCAAAGAATGCATGAATTTTGAAGGGTTGGATCTTTCTCCAGGTGGCACTGTTCCATTGAGACTCCCATTGTTGGCAGTGTTCTCTCTTACGTAGATGATAAGCACGGGACCTAAGGCCCTGGCTCCTTCACCATGAGAGAAAGAACCGGAGAATTACCAAGATTAGAGAAACTTCTCAAAGAGAGTTTTGGGAGACAAGTATATAATAACAATATGGCACAGGCATAGCCTGACGAAGAGATTCAAGCAACACCAGAAATTGAGATTAAAAGAAAAGGAAAATAACAAGGACACTTCAAATTCAATGCCAAAGCACTTGAATCTGTACCAATGGGAATCTGGGCATATTACCTCAGAGCAAAATTCATTTAGCCAAACCCAAGTAACGCAGATTGAGGCCTCCTAAATTTCAGGATGAGCATCAGCTGTTTTTTCCTTGATGAACAATAATGGTTCACTCCAATAATCCACAGCCATCATTTTTACACGGATACACAAGAAATTCATGTCTACGTGTTGGGTTTTATCTAATCTCGAAATCCATGGATACACAAGAAAATATTTCATATTTTTTGAAGTGTCTTTCCAATATTTCCTGTGGTACATGGGTGTGCTATGTTACTTAGAGAATTTGAAGTGGAAATTTTACACATTTTAAACCAGTGTGCAGAAACAGAACATAACAATGTTTATTTATGTTTACTTACATACTTACCATGAATAGCTAGATGTGCTTGTGGCTGCATATGTGATGGAAAGTGTTGAACACATATCTCACAACCCTTACACAAGTGTACAGGTATGGGATATCCTTAAATAATACCCTTACCCCAGGTGTGACGTGAATGGCTAGATGTGCCTGGCTGCATATCTGAGGGCATCCCATACCTTTACCCAGGTGTAGGGTATGGGATATCGCTTCCATGCTCATATCCTTAAATATGAAGAAGGTGTGATGTTTGACTATCCTACTACTTCAAAAAGAACAGTGTTGGATAATTCTATTAATTCTTATAAATCTTAACATTATTAAAAAACTGAACATGATTACCATTAGAACAGACAGGCAAAGGAAGAAGGCATGCAGCCAATATAAATAATTTCAACCTCATCAGTCTTCCCATTTGACGAAGCTGATTTGGGTGGAAGTGTCCTTCCAAATCAAAGAAGCAAGCAGCCCCTCCATTCAATATTTTTTCACTTGATTTCAGGTTTGCAAACTAACTACATGCATAAGCTCTGCCCCCAAACAGAGTCGGGAAGCCTGTCAAGTAACATTATGAAAATAGTCAAAACCAGAATTTCTATATCTTAAAAACAGCATTTCACCCATAAGACCTCGACCAATCCCGTTTCAAACGAAAAAAAATTTCAAACTCTCTATTGATTCATATTCATATCCATGCATTAGTCTTTAACTACTAAAAAGAAGAAAACAACTAAACTATGCTACCTTAATGACGAGCTGACACACAGTAGAAGATGAAGCAAAAAAAATAGATATATTTCCATCTTGATGATAAATCTCCTCCCCCCTTTTCATATTTCAGTCCATATTGAGGCCTCAATGTACCAAAAAAGCAGGCTTTCGGACCTCCAATTGTTTGCCTTCATATAAACTTCTGCAACACAAGTTAAGCAACCCTGAGCTATATAAACCTTACAAACACCGCGCAGAGAGAACCTTTGCCAGAGTAAGAATTCAAGCTTCAACTGGTGGTATCATTTCCTCTGAAAGTAAAAAGATTAGAATTATTTAGTTTGACCTACTGGTTAAGCAAACTCACCCGTTGTGTGTGGCAACGAAATTACAATTCTCAATTCCATTCATGGAATATAGCCCAAAAAAATCATAAAATTCTACAACACTAACGTTGAGAGGGCAAACCTATACCACAGCTTCATGAACTCGGTAAGAATCAGCTGAAACCCCTACCAAATAAAAGCCAGGGAAAGCATTCTGCAGACACACAAGACAAACAATCAAAACCAAAAAATACACCACACACACATAGACAGAGAAGAACGAGAACAAGAGATCCAAGAACAAAAACAAGATAGCGATCCCTTACATCGACTACTTTCTGTACATTCTTCGGCCTCTTCTTGGGCCTCCGAGAAGGCTTCCCTCCAGTCAATGCGTACACGTCCTCTTCAATCTCTTCCCTCGACAACGAGATCCAAAACTTCCTCTTTTCCTTCTTCTCAGAGCACTGTCCTTCTACAAAACCTCTCAGCCTAAGCGATTTGGGCACCTTATGAGCCTCAGTAAATGCAGGAATTGCTAGAACTGCAGAACCTGGTTCCGGCAATTTACCATTATTCAACGACGCCGTTCCGATCTCCTCCGCCGCTACCTTCGTCGCCGTCTTCCTCGGCCTCAAATTCCACGGCTTCGCCACCAAATCCTCCCCTTCACCAACCTCACCACACACATTCTCCACATCGGCTTCTTTGTTAGACTCTCTGTCTGAAACGACGGCGTTCTGTTTTTGTTTTTGCGCAGAGCATGGAGAAAATGAAAACCGGTTGTTCCGCGCGGTTTCTGATCCCACCGGAGGCTTATTCCGATTCTCCAACTCGGACTCGGAATCCGGTTCAGCCGGCGATAATCGTTGGTGGTCCGGCGAGCTGCGAGTGGACTCAAAGGGCCTGCGAAGGCGGTGATTGGCGTTGATGTGGTTCTTTTGGCCCCATCTCAAGAACGGCAGAGAGAAGTTGTGAAGAGGCTGAGACTTCACAGGCGCTGTCTCCATTATAGTCTACTCATCAAGTTTTCTAGAGAGAGAAAGCAGATACATAAATAACCAGAGCTGTAGTACACACGGAGAGAGAAACCAAAAACCCTAAGAACATGAATGTATATGCGATCAGAGAGAGAGAGAGGAAATGAAGCAGTGGTAGTGTTGACGAAGAGGGGTAAGTGTTTATACATGTGGCGTATCTATCCGTGCTTATACCCGGGCTCGTTTGGTCGCCGAAATGGATGGATTATATATAATACTTCAACCTAATTCGAAAAAAATTAAATTGGGTATTAAAATAATTAGTAATTTTTTTTATAATATTAGAGCAATGTTATTGAGATAATATTTAGAGATATAATGAGTTGTCACTAATGAAATCATAATAAATTCATTTAATGCTATAATGTGACCCATCACTAAATACAATTCACTATTATTTCATTGGTGATAACTCATTATATTTTTAATTTATATTCATAAATTATGTCTTAATAACATTATTGATAATATTATAATCAAGTAGGATGGTTTAGTGGGGTACCGATCTTACTTCTCACCTTGAGATTGAGAGTTCGAGTTTTGGAGTTCCCATTGAGACTTGGTGGTTGACTGCTATGCTAGCCTAGCTAGGTCTGGTCCCCAGAGGTGTTCCAGGCGCAGTCAGTGGCTTTATGATCCCACCGGTGAGGGCCTATCGGGGTGGTCGCTGGACACTTTTCCTTGATTAAAATTTTTGCACAAGAATTAAAGAAACTATTAAATTGTTCTAATATGAATAAAAAATAATTACACAAGACTAAAATATTTTTATTCAATATGTATTGAGAAGGAAATGAATATGAAAGACACTTAGCCTCCACCAAATCTAATGCATTGAAAAGTTAAGAGTAAATTTGACAGAAAAAATATTAATTATGCTTTAGTTTCATTAAACGACAAACATTATGGAACAAAAAAAATTATGTAAAATAACAGATATTTAGGAAAGGATAGAGTAATAAATAATATAAATGTTAGATAGTAGTTATTTAACTCACTCGATTGTTTGGTTAGGAAATTATTTCACTGTATGATTATTGAATTAACAAAAATATTCTCTATCAGTATTTGTTACATTAATGATAGTTTGATTTTATCACTTAGGAGTTATAATAATAAATGTGTAGAATAGTATATTTGAGTTGGATTATAATATCAACTCTTTTGGTGGTATTAAAATATTTTCATAATACTAGTTTATCGTATAAAAAATATACGATAACTATATGATTAATATATATTTTTGAAATTAATATAACATCAAATTTGCTTATCAAATAAAGTATTAGACCCGATTAAATAAAAAATAATACAATATAATATTTAATACTCTTCTAATACGTCTACCAAACGCGCCTTATGACTACATAGTACATTCCCTACTTATTTTTTGGGAGAATTTTATATTAGACTCTCTATCATTTGAAATATTATATACAAACCCTTTAAAGTTTGTACGCACGTAATACTTAGACTCTGTTAATCATGTCCGTTAATTTAAATTACATCTAGGCCCCCTAAAAAAATTTTTAAAGAAAAAATAGATTTTTATTTTTGATTTTATTTCAATAAATAACATAATAAAACATGAATTTTGGTTATAAAAATTAAAATATTTGATATTTTATTTTTGATTGTATTATTTTTTTTGTTTAAACAACATTTATTAAGAATATACGACAAAGGTCTAAGTGTTACGCACATATAAATCTCAGGGTATGTATCTAATATTTTAAATGTCAGAAATTTAAATGATTAAGTGACAAATCTGAGAGACTCTGGATGTAATTCTCTCTATTTTTATTTTTTTTGACAATACTGAAATTAGAGATAAATAACATTAAATTTATAATTTAAATTACTGAAATTATTATGAAATAGAGATTTTTTAAAACCAATTCTAATAATATCAAGGATTAATTCCAATAATTAGGTTCGATCTACATGGAAAGACGGGATTCAAGTTATAAAGCCAAATTAAGATATCTCTGATGCACATTCAATGTTTATAACAAATGCAATGATTTAGATACCTAAAAACACTTTGGTTTACTTATAGACTTAGGATAATAGAATTGAAATTCAGAATATTTGTAAATGACTTTTAGATTTTTCATGAAAGATATTTTATAAGTCTTAAATATGTATTAAAAATATAAAATGAGTCATGTATCAGATTCTATTTGAGTGACATTTTTTAATACTCAATATGTCAAAATTTTATTAGATTTTTAACTTAAAAATCAATAACGACCGCTCTATGCTATGTTCATAATTACATTGGGAGTCATTTCATTGTGGTCCCATATCTTTGTTCATAATTTAATTTATTTTGTTTTCCCATTTCTGCCTTTGGGGCTGTGGGGAATTCCATTAGGGTTTCTAATTTAGGGCAGCTATTTTGTAATAAGTTAAGTTGTGTCGACGTTATGTCATATCTAAATTGAATTGTATTAAAATTTATTCAATTTATTTTCGATTCAGTATTGTATAGCTCATTCTAATCGAGCTTAGTTGGTTCATTGCAATAAAAAAAGTTAAGTCGAGATTTGGTGAAAATGTGGATGACTTTTGATTTTTAAAATAAGGACAATTTAATGTGAATTTAAATTGAGGGCTTAACATCGCTTTCAGCAAAGAAATTGTGAACCGCACCTAACCATAATATGTTGACTTCAATAATCTTCCTATAGTAAGAGTTAAAAGACTTGAGAATTCATCAATTAAAAGTCAAATTTAAATTAAACACGCATCAGAAATTTTATAATTCAATTTAATCAGAATTAACCTCCCTTATGTAATGTCCGACAGTGGGGTTTACCTGGAATCGAGATCATCTTTATTATATTTTCATTCAATTTCACTCAATAATAGATCATTTATTAATAAAACACATGAGATTCACTATTTACTAGTGAATCCATCATTCACCTACGATAAATAATCTATCATTGAGCATAATTGAAAAAAGGTGTAATGAAGAAGATTTGAATTCCCTCACATGACGGATACTTTAATCTTGACGATTGATTGTTAGATTGGGAATCATTAACACTTTTGCTTTCTTTTCTTCCAAAAAGATAATTAATGCTACCTTTTATATTTTCCAATTCCCACTGGGGCTTATAGGTTATTGAAAATTCTATGGTTGTTGTGACATGAATGGAGTGTTGGTCGAACTCCAAATTTAGCCGGCCAAATGGAATTAAATTTGATTTTAATAGTAGTTTGGTAGATAAGTTGGCTGACCAAGTCACAAGTAACTGAGGTGTTCTATTTCTAACCCGTTTCAATTACTCCAAAAACATCCAGAGCTAGTCCACTGCTTTGCACAAATTATAATTAGGTCTGTCAATGGATTGAATTTTGATCCGAATTTAAATTCGATATCTTATATTTTACGAATTCAGATTTGAATATATTCATATCCGATTTGAATCATTTATATATTTTTACATAAATATTAAAAAATTAGTGATTATTTAAAAAAATTAGTTAAATTTTTAGATATAATTTGTTAAAATTTAGTTTCTTAGGTTATTCGAATCGGGTTTCACATATGTACCATGAAAATAAAATCCTCTAGCATATTTAGATTATTGGCTTCGGATCAGATTTTCAAAATCGAATTTGAATTCGGGTCAGTCAAAATTTGTTCTAAACCCGATCCGTTGATAGATCTAATTATAAGTATTTGCAATGTGACCCAAGAGAAAGTAGAGTTAGGAATAAACCCCTTTAATTTGTGAGGAACCATAATATATATGAACAATGTTATTTTAACCTAATTTATTTATAATCAGGGAAGTTCTCGTATTGCACCTCTTTTTTAAAAAAAATAAAATAAAATAATTTATAATCATTGGATTGACCAATGAACACATTATTTATTGGAACCTGCTATCAAACTAATAATTGTAATGAATTAGATCAACAAATAATATTAACAAATTAAATTTAAATAATATTATTATATTGTTAATATATTTTGTTCAAGGAGTATTAAAATGGGCACTGATAATCAAACCAACACGATGGAAACCGCTTACGGCACCATCATTGAAGGTAAATTTACGTGGAGTTGAATTTTTTTTTTTTTGAACAAAATAAGAATTACTCTGAAACTTTCGCTTAAAAGTGAAAGCGACAGAATGCCTTATACACACACACACAACCCAAAGACTATCCGACGTGGGATAGCTCCAGTCCATCACCACTTAAGCCCAAAGGCCTACTTGAACCATTTTTGGCCGGACCTGAGATGGATGTAACTGAGCCCACAACAGACGTGTCAGGCATACGCACGTACACAAGTTTCTTGTTTTTTTTTAACAAAGTAAAAACCACTCTGAAACTTCCACTTAAAACTGGAAGTGACAGAGGACTTTATACACATACACACACAACCCTTAAAAGTCAAAATTTATGTGGAGTTGAATTGAGAGATAGTTGGTTGTTTGACATTAGGATAGTGGTTACCAACGCGAAAACTGGGTTTGTGGAAAAAGTAGGAGATAGGTCCTTCGTGTTTAAAGGTGCTTGTGTGAAGCTATTGCAAAACTTTCAGATGCCGACAACTAATTCAGCAACATTGAGAGAGATTTTCGCCAAGCTCAAGGAGGACCTTATATATTTTTGTAGGTATGAGATAACCATAGTTAATAGTGATGACAATAAAGTAGCACATTGCTCGGCCATGTATGCAAACGTTATCGATCAATTTTGTAGCCGGAAGGAGCAGGGCCCAAAGGGTGTGAGGCCATTCCTCTTTGCAGATTTTCCATATAAATAAACTAATTACCCTTTCACCTTCAAAAAGGAGTAGTGAGGTCATGCGATGATCTCAAAAAGTTCCAACATAAAAAAATAAAGAGTATTATTAGACCAAAAATGTATGATATATATATATATATATATATATTTTTTTTTTGTTCACATGTAGGTAAGTAACTAAAATTTAAGTGAATATTTAAAATATTTACCATATTTAAACATAAGAGAGTGATTAAAATATTTATTGTAGTTAAAAAATAAGTGATTAAAGATAATAGTATAGTAAACAAATTTATTGTGATTAAAATATAAGTTATAACATAAGCTATTAAATATAAGTGATTTGAATCATTGTTATATTCCGGGTGTGTTTACTTTAGATATTAGTGAAGAG